TGTGGCCGCGATGTCCGCAAGTGTCAATGGACGAGGTTCTGTGATCGTCATCTGAACTTGAATGTTACATAGGACAGTGAAACAAGCTCGTCCCTTTCAGATCACTTCATCCATGCTGCTCCAACCGTCAAACTCAAAAAGTCCCGCGCTGTTCGAAAATTGCCGCGCAAAGCGCGGCGCCACGACCTGAGATCTGTTGAACCGTTCGCCTGACCGTCCAAACAGAAATAGTCTGCTGTCCTCTAACCCGCCTGTGCTCCAACACTTTCGCGCGGAAGACACTGCAAGTGAGTATATTAGGGGTGTGCTCGTCCAATTGTGCGGCGATCTTCATTGGCATTAGAGCCGCGCAAGCCGTAATTTCAACATCCTGCTTAGGCCGGGCAACTATCGCGCAACATTTTCCGCATCCGTTCCTCTGGCTTGCAGACGCAAGCAAAGAAAGCCTCCACGCCTTTTATCTCCTTAAACTACCGAGGTTTCGGAGACAACAAATTTACGAGACCCATCAAATTACTGAAATCCTACAATGATGATGCGGACCCAGTTTCCGCCACAGCAACATTGGCTATGCGACCTTGCGCTCTCCATTCAAAAAAAACCTTTATAAAACAAAACAATAAAATTGGGTTTCGTTTCGCTCCTTCCTCAGACCGAACCTTATTATTTCGTACCAATCCCCCGAGCTCAAATCAGTGAGTTGGGATTTGGCGAAATAAAGACATCAGGAAAGACAAATAAATCCTTGAGTAGACGTACAAAAATTATCATCGCAGAGGAGCATTCAAATGAATTTAAATCGCTATATTTACTAGTGATTATTAAATTGACATATACTTAAAACTTTTATTAAATTAAAATAACAAAATGTGGAATATGTTTTGAACCGTCCACTGAATTAAACATAAGCTATTGCATTTGAGTATCCTTTAACATAGTTTAATAACATTTTAATAATTATTCAGCCAATTGAAATTTATACGCATAATAAACTTCAATTTTATAAATAACTTCACTATATTACGATATAAATAAATTCTCATATAACCAATTTCCTAGTAAACCACTTCGTGTAAAACTCCGTTAGTTATCAGTAAAATGTGTTCAAATACGATACAAGTGTTAGCTATTACTGAAGTGCTTTTCAGTGTATATAACGGAGCTTTCATTCATTTTTAAGAGATATTGTGTGCCCATTATATGCTGAACCTAATAACCTTGAACTGAAAGTCATCCCGTCCTTGTTGTATAAATCTAGCATAACTTAATTATTATTATACTTGTCGTTTAAATCCACAGATTAATTTACTGTTAGATGTTTCAACTTAGATGTTTTTCTTTAAATTCAAGTGTATTCATATACCACTATCTGCTAGTTGCATGTCAATGTTCATCTTCGTTTGTTAGTATCCACTTAGCAACACTCATCCATATAAATCTGTATGGGATAAGACTTTATTTAATTTAACTTATACTTAATTGCATAATTGTAATTCTTGACCTGAGAGGGTATAGATCAGCTACACCTAGGGACTGAAAATTACCTCCTTGTCGGTAATCCTTATTTTTTGTTTTGAATAATGTTGCCCAAAAATCGTACAATAACTTTTTAACCCAATATTCTGTGAAGTAAATATCAAGTATCACAGTTATAGTATCTAAATAGCTACTACTTGTTGATTCACCACTTGTATAAAGAATATACGCCGTTAGTTGCGAACAAGCGTTTTATCAGCATTCTAAAAACAAATATTTAAGAGATGTTTTATGTCTTATAATATGACAATATGTTCCACATTATTAAACATGTCTGTGAAATCTGCTGTTAAAATTTTTAGATTTTTCCATCGTGCGAGGGTGTTTTGTTAGAATCTTGACTTATATTTATAGTGCTAAATTGATCAATATTTTTGATAGTTCTATTACTGTTTTTTATTACTTTAATATAATTAACGAAGTGATTCCATTTAGTGCGTGAAATAATTTGCATTTCCCTGGCCAAGCGTTTGATGCCCTACTTTTATGTGCACCTGTAATTATATCTAAATCTTAATAGGGTTTTTATGCAAAGTTTAGGTAAAGCATAATATGATGGTAATCTCGCATCTATAAACTGTGTTTATATACTTAATTTCTCACACAAGAATTTGTCGTTTCAATATCAACGAGTACTTTTGTACAATTGTACTGGTTCATATGTATTATTGGTACCAGTCTCTTCTTAAACAGAAGAGGCTGTTGATAAATATCATAGTAAATCCCATATCTTTCATTATGGTTAAGTAAATTAAGAACTTTTGCAAACTAAGCCGTATAATTACTTCTTACTTAATCCCAGGGGAAAAACACATAACTGTTTTGTATATCGTTTTATTATTTCGTATGTATGTTACTCGCCCCTTATTTTGGATGTTATTCCTCTTTTGTTAATCATCGGCTTTATATTTATCTATGGTAAATGCTGGTAGATATTGTTTGCAAAGATCTACTTTTACAGTATCCAACTTTATACTCTGTTTTTTTGAAATAAGAAATAGCTTTGTTAACCTGTGTCTTCACATATTTGCTTGACTTCTGTCTGGTTATGCCAATGTCAATTCTATATTAAGTCCCTTTGCCTCATAAATTCTTTGAGCTTCTCTTCTTTTTATTAGTTCAGTCTCCCGTTTCACTAAATATGTCCATTAGTTTTCACTTAACATACTTTTTTGTAGCTGTAAATCCTACAATACAAATCCAGTTTCTATTTTATTTATCTCCCTAATTTTCGATTAGTGAGATCTTTCAGTACCCTGTTATAATTGTATAATTCTACATCATACTGATTGTTGTATTTTATATACTATTCGGATAGGTGCTATATTCAAGCTGGAAATTGCTTTTTTACTTCTTACTCAATAAGTTTTCTTCAACATGTTTGAGTTAATATTTCTGTTTAAGGTATTCTCCGTTAAAACCTCTTTTAAGCTAAACTTCTATAATTGTGATAAGTTCTTCTTTGACTTGACATCACTGTGTCACAATGAAAATGAGCTTATTAGCAAATATGAGGTATCTTGTTTTGTTATTACTGTTTGCAGAAAATCTTACTGGACTTGGATATGATTTACTATTTTTGTCAATTTTCTTTTCTCGTAAGACATCTCTATGAGTAACCTGTAGTTAATTGCAATCAGCTTAAACTCTCTTATATTTATTCTCACCAATCTGTTTGACATCTCTATCCCTTTGTTCTTTCTTTGGCGTCTTGTTCCTGCTGTTATTTCTTTCTTTGTTATTTTTATGAAGAAAATAGGGATTGGTTTCCCTTTATATAAAAAATGATATATACCACGTTTGTTATGTTTCCGTAACCTTTGAGTGTGTCGTTTAAAAACGAAAGGGATACACCCCTCGCCTCTTACATACTCATCAACCAGACTTATCGTTTTCAGGTAAACGTAAAATCATGCAATGTGATCACAACCAGCCCCGATCATCGCACAACCGCCTCCCAGGGCGCGTACAATTCAATCCTTCCCCCAGGAAATAACATCCCCACTCACTCTAAATTCAGATCCTCTGGGACAAAAAAGGGTTGATATAGCACCCCTAGCATACCTCTGTTTTCTACTGCCAGTACAGTTACAGAGCGAGACGTACTACCCTCCACCGATGAAGCACTCTTGCCCCTGAGGGTCCGCGCTGCTCTAACTGTCTGGCAGTAGCAAACATAACAGAGGATGGAACGAGTCCTAGACGAACCCTTTTTGTTCCCAGAGATTGAATCAGAGTAGAATACAAATATGGGGGCAAGGAATTGAATACCTGCCGACAAACACCATACGGTCTCGGACAAACTTGAACTCATACGGCCCTTTTAAACCCGCCTCGATTTGACCTCTCTCTGCTAACAAAGCCTTCATATTACTCCGCTTCTTCACTGTCACCTCACACATTTGCCACAATACATCATTGTTCATCGACATACGAAGCTCTCCTCCTGCCCTCGAGCTTATCTAAGAGCTCTCACCTGCTGATTGGATTGAAAGCTCGAGCCAGCACGATTTCTCTAATACTCTAGACATGCTCCGCCTTTCTCGCAGAGAACATAGGGAGAGTTTCAAGGTAATTACCAACAATCTCCAATTGTCCGCGACTACCGCTGAGAGTGGCGGCCGTCGAGGCTGCGCGAAAATCTCTTAGCGTTTAGGGCGCAATCTACGGCGATACAGTGCAGGACGGGTTTCCTATTCTACACATCCGATCTCCTTCCACTTACACTCCCACAATGGATGTATTATGATAGTTTATTCGTGACAACTATAACAAACATATTCTATTTCTCAAGGGAAAAGTATTCCCTTTCTGGTCTAAACATCCTACTTCATTGATCGATGTCAAATAATTCGTTTCCTCTCTTTCTTTCTCTCAGTACTCCCGTTCTCATGCGATAATTTTTCTGACAATTATTATTTTTCTTTATTGCTAATGAAACAACTGTACCTATGCTAGCCTTCCGGCTTAAATGATGTCTTGAATATTCGGCAATTTCTCATGACCTCTCTTTAATAGTAATGCAGAACGCCATATAACGTTACTGTCGTTTCAGTGGTTACTCCCCACTGCTACCATGGTGACGCCCTCTAATTCGGCGATGTTCTTCAACAGATAGATATGGGATTTTGCGTGAGTTTGGTTCCATAACAGAAAAATAGGAACCTTGGTATGATTGTGTTGCAATGGTTACCATTTTGTTTTGTTGCGGTTAGAGCTTTCATCGAGCTAACGGATTCTCCAGTTGACAACGATATTTGCAATTTATAATGCGCAATAAATCAATGAATAGTGGTGCCAGTTAAGGGATGATCATAGTCACAACAGCCAAATCTTTGACCCAGTACTTGCCGCCTGTCCTCTATTTGCACGGCAGTCTTTCCGACAAAACAACCACCGATAATCCGGAGGGTGATGGTAACGAACTCTGAAATACGTACCTCTTTGCGAAGAAGATCCATTGTATGCAAGGAGCGGTGAGTACGGACTGTGATTCGGTTTTTTAGCACTGACTATGAGTAAGGCTGATGCGGAAACCTTCTGTAATTCTGAGCTTAAAAATTGTTGAGCCCTGATGCTTTCTGATGGGAGAACAGAAGCCATGTCACTCTGAACCCTGAACGATTTTTGATCAATTTTAGGGAGTTCTCGATTAATGCCAAGCTGTCCCCGTATCGATCACTCATTCAAGTCAAATTAGAATCCCTGTGTGGACATTTTCTTGAATTAAGGCATCACGTAAAACTTTGATTCTAACTCGACCTTAAAGAGGGCCATGTGTGTTTCTATCAACTTAAGGTACCTACTGAGTTTTGCTCTAATAATAATCGGAAAACGAACAGTTTCTATTCTTATGGTTTGACCAAGTAGGATCTTTATGTCGGAGCATTTAGTTCGGTCAAGAATTTCAAACAGATCCTGCAAGGATCATGACATATTACAATGACCTTCAACCTGATCACCTGTCGCCCCGTTATCGTCGGATTTACTCGAGCGGGCGCCCAGCAACGTCTTCCATTCATCCAAGTCTCTGCTAGATGGTCCATGGATCCTCCCTTGCTAGGAGGGACACGCAAACCCGTTCATTCCTTTCGTTCAGAGCGTTCGTGAAGAAGTCGACCACTGGGGCCGGCGTCGTCCAGGTGTTCGTTGACATGCTGAGGGATTCCAGTCGGTAAACGCTCTGCTCCACACCGGTCAGCGAAAATCGCGATGACGTTGGACCAGAGCGGTACCCGACTATTAATTATTGTAGACGTAAGACTATAATTACTATACCTAATCTCACAAAAATAAGAATGCGAGTTTATCAAGGCTAATTAGCTCTCAGATTTCGCGATTCCAATGGCGATCGCATTCGCAAGTGGGGCGTGTTGTTAGTGTTCCGTATGGTGCCCCACCCCACTTGCGATTCTTCCTATCGCACCTGCAATCGCAAAGTCTGGCATCATTCCTTAAAAATGTATGAAAATCCGAATTAAATACATATTGCTTTCAGTCATTGTTTATGCTCAATTCAGAACCCTGGACGTGTGAAATTGGCAGAATCGATGATCCAGTTCAAAAATGAGAAGACAGGGAAATTGAGCACTATTAACGCTTCAGACTTGGATGGTTTGAATTGGCAGAGGCTTGGGAATCGACCCGGTCTCAAAATGCGGTGTTCAGATGGGAAGAAAATCCGTTTTGGAGGTTTTAAGGACTCCGTACGTTGAAATGTAGTTCGCTCCAATGCGACACCTGCGATTTGCTTTTTTTATATGCTGTTTAGGACCTGGACAAAATCAGACAGTTCGCTCAGAAAAATTGGCATAAGGAGGTGGAACATAACGATCTTGTGTTAAAGGGTTGGAACTATGGTAATTGCCAAGTTGATGGTATGTATTCAGGACTTCAGCCACACGGTGATCTCGTTTCACTGTTTACATTTGCAGGACAATCTGTCGAGTTCACTCTTGATAACAAGCCTGTATTCGAGGTCCCGCTTTCAAATGTTGCCAACTGTGTCGGAAATAAAAGTGAAGCTACCCTCGAATTCCATCAGGTTCGTTTCCACACTCAGTCTTTTAGTATTTTCGGCTTCCAAATGTTCTCTTTTTCTTGTAGAACGATGACTGTCCTACTTCTCTCATCGAAATGCGTTTCCACATGCCTGCAGATGTAGACGATGAGGAATCTGATCCCGTTGAGGTTCGTGAAGCTTTATAAATTAAAGTGATTGGAATTATAGAACGATTGAATTTGTGTGATTTTGAGGATATGTTGTCATCTGTGAAGTTTCAAAAAAAATCTTGTTAATAACATATTTTGCACTGTTTTGTAGGAATTCCGTAAAGCCGTTATGGCCTTCGCTGGAATTGAAACAGAGACTGGGCAACCGGTTGCCTCGCTGCAACAGATCCTATGCACAACTCCTCGGTATGTTCTGCTAGTCTCAGTTGCCGTTTTCCATTCGTTGTGGCAGGTCTTATTACTTACTGAAATGAAACGAGTTTTAAAAATAATTGGGTGCAAGACTTCTCTACTTTTTTGAAGCATTTCAAAATGTTAGGTTGGTCGAAAGGTTTTCCGATAAATTCTTATTGTTTTGTGAGCTAACAGTCTCAAGGTCACTGTTACACATTTCTCCATCTACAGCCTGACGTGCGCTTGTGCAACTGTCCTCCCCCTCTCAGAACGACAGCAGCTGAGACGTGAAGAATTTGTGGAGCGCATCCCAAGTCTCAACTTTGTTTCGAAGAAGAAGCGGTAGTCGGTTAAAGCGGAGTCAAGGCTGTGGGAGTCTCGAAAGAACACAAGCTGTCGTGCTTCTCCAGCTCAGACTAAGCCGTTTTTCCCTTCGAAGTCGTAGTGAAAGTTGATGGCCAATCCGCTCCACGATTGTAATCGATAGCCGCTAAACAACCCTTGTAAAGGCTCCATAGAATTCTAGCCTTGCCTCGTACGATTCTCTGGCCACTTCCTGCGCTATCTGAACGGAAAAATTGATGCGAAAGACAAAGAGGTATCCGTCTGAGCGCCGTAGGGGATATCTAAAAGTTACCCGAATGTTGGCGTCGAGTGGTAAACGGTCACGATGCTTGTAAAATATTTGCAGAAGAAAAGCAAGACCGAAAGCTTTTCGACCACTATCCTATACATATATTATTTCAGAGGGCGTTACGATATCAAGGTGTTTCCAAACCACTTGTCACTCCATGGAAAAACTTACGATTACAAAATTCCCATCAAAACGATCATGCGTCTCTTCCTTGTTCCTCACAAAGATGGCAGACATGTTTACTTTGTCGTAAGTGTTGTTTTTAGCTACTATTAATTCCTGTTTTAGCTTTCGTCAAAAATGTTGGGGTTAATGCAGAATTGTTCATCCGTTTCAGATCTCTTTGAACCCTCCAATCCGGCAAGGGCAGACTCGCTATCATTACCTCGTTCTCGAATTCCTCAAAGAAGACGAGATTGACCTCGAATTGGGGTTGACTGAGTGAGGGTTTTACTTCCGCTTTCCTTGAAACGGATTATTTATTATTTTCAAAGGCAACAACTCAATGACCAGTATGGTGGAAAATTGGAAAAGGAGCTCTCTGGTCCACTCTACGAGGTTGTTTCGAAAATTTTCCGTGTTCTCATAAACATGAAGATCACCGTTCCAGGGAACTTCATTGGGTGAGTTGTAGTGATCGTGTTTTTTTTTGTATTTTTTGTCTTGGTTCATTTTGGTGAATGAAATGGACTTCCGTTAGAGATTGCGTAGTCATTGCACTTGAAAGTGGACTCGTAAAATTCATTGTGAGTTTCTGCAGACACTCTGGCACCCCAGCCGTCATGTGTGCGCATAAACAGGCTTCTGGATTCCTCTATCCTCTGGAGAAGGGCTTTCTATATATCCACAAGCCGCCTATGTACGTACGATTTGAAGAGGTGTGTTTTCTTGCAGTCTTGGATATTTCGAGTGCATTGAATGGGACGGTATCTTTATGGTTGAAGGTCGCCTCGGTTCATTTTGCACGATCTGATGTTTCTACGCGTTCATTCGATTTTGAAATAGAACTCAAAGCTGGACAGGTGTTGGTGTTCAACAGCGTTGAAAAGTGAATACTTTCAATTATTTCTCATTGATATTTCATACATGTTCTATTCTATCAAGTTTTTTAGGGAGGAGTACAACAAGCTGTACGACTATGTGCAAAACAAGCACTTGCGCATTCGTAATGCTAAAAAGATGGTGCTTTCATATAACAATTTTTAGTGAAATTTTTGGGAATGTTGGTGAGTTTGTCTCATTGTATTATATTGTAGGACAAAAATTATGCTGAGGACCGGTTCGCTGGATCGGATGATGAGATTGACCCATACAAAGAGACTGTCAAAGCGGAAGGAAAGGAGCGCGCTGGTGCAGACTCTGATGATGATTCTGATTCCGAGGACGACGACTATGATCTTGACGAAGATATCAAGAAACGTAAACAAGATCGCGAATCAAGTGAAGGAAGTGGATCGGAGCCCGATGAAGAATTTGACTCCGATGCTGCATCTAGTGACGAAAGTGGATCTGGTGGTTCGGGCGATGAAGCTTCACCTAAGAAAAAGAAAAAGGTAGGAAGCATCTCACCACATTTCTTGTTGATTTGACAATGCATTGCATCTTTAGAAGGAGAAGGAAGCAAAACAACCAAAAGAGAAGAAAGAAAGGAAAGAAAAGGGAGAGGGTAAGAAAAAACGCGAGAAGAAAGAGAAAGACCCTAACGCCCCGAAACGAGCTCAATCTGCCTACTTCCTGTGGCTCAACGAAAACAGAGCCAAAATCAAGAAGGCTAGTCATTCCAGTATTTGTTATTTGCAGTACAGTCATTGCAGTATTTGTTCGAGAAACGATGAGAAAGCCACAACTTCTTATTTTTCTAGGATGGTGATTCTGTAGCTGACGTTGCCAAACGAGCTGGAGAGATGTGGAAAGCTATGGATGCAGAATCTAAAGCGGTAAGTATGTTTTGTAAAGACCATTCATATGAACTCTTCATGTTCGTTTCAGCCATGGGAAAAGAAAGCAGCTGCGGATAGAGAGCGCTACGATACCGAGATGAAAGAATTTAAGAAATCTGGAGCGAAACCAGCCTCTTCGGAATCAACTTCGAAGAAGTCCTCCGGGCCGTATGTTCTTACTCCTTTTTCCCCTCTTCGGTTCTAGTTTACATGATTTGATCCACATGATGAAAATATTATACCTTTGGTTTAGCTCACCATTGAAAGCGAAATCTAAGGAGTACATAAGTGACAGCGATGATTCTGACGACGATGACGACAAGCCATTAAGACCCAAGGAAAAGAAGGAAAAAGAAGTTAAGAAGGAGGTCAAAGAGGAGGTGACTATTTTCAGGAAAAATACTGTCCTTCACTGCTAAATCGCATTATTTCAGACGAATTCCGATGCCAGTGATTGATTCCGGTATATCATCTAAAATGTTGAAGGTGTTAATGTTATGACTGGTCATTTTTAAAGTTGTGAATTTTGAAAGCAGAATGAAGATCTCATCCATAATTTGTCGTGTTTTTGTTGACATGAATTCGGTCACACAACAAAACTGTAGCCAAAAAATATTTACTAATTATTCATTAACATCAACAACTTCATCAACAAAACAAAGAAGATCACAGATAACAAAGTACAATGTCAAGCACTGCTAATGCTCAATCGTAGCACTCGTAACTTCCCATCACTCCCAGCGACAGCTACCTCATACCTATCTCTCGGATTCACTCTGGAAAAGCTTTGTGAGTCCTGGGTCTCGAAAATGGGACAAATTAAGTAAGACGAAACTTAATAAACTAAATAGCTATTGAGCATGTGTCACAGGATCCACGTCCCGAGGTCATGCTTGGTTTGTTCTGAGAGGGGAGTCGCATTGGGTGATCAGGTCGAAAGTGGAACTCTCTCAGTGGGGAATTTTTTGTAGAATTAAGAAAGGATAAAGGATAAAGCATTTGCCGTTGATCAATCCCCTTCTGGTATGCGACACTCATTCTACTTCCATTTGTACATTCTTAGTGGCATTTGAATGCAATGTTGCCTATACAATGACTTGCGGGGGTCAGCCGATGTGCAAGTCAGTGTCTTTTACCCTCCCATACAAATCTGGTACCAATCAATCGACTTCGGAAGGATGGAAGGCTTGGTTAGCCCGGGCGACTCACGACCCAGGATTTGATCCGCAGACGCTCGCGTGGTAAGCATGCCACTTGCCACTACACCCTTCCGCCGTGGAGAGTTTTTGTATCATTGTCAAATAATGCAAGAAGTATTTTTGGCCAGCAACTACCATTTTGCTATCATTCTTGGCATAGAGAATCTCAGGTCAGAAAGACAGAATGATATGTGGAGAAGGAGGGGGAGGGTCGTATCAGGAAGCTTCCGCAACAGCACGTCCTGAGACGTTCACACTTGTTGAAACTCACCTCAACCGCGTTATGGGGCTATCCACAGGCAGAGATGGAATGAAGTAGTGCGAAATGGGTCGGAGTTGATTTCCTTGTAGATCCAGTAGCACTACTGAGCCATCTTGAAGGCCAGCAGCAATTACCGCGTCTCTTAAAGTAATAAATGTAAGATCAAAGAAGAAGGGATCGCCACTAACATAAACTACCTCAATTCACTCCCGCAACACACAGCAACGCTTGTGACTGCTTGCAAACATTTGAACGAGCAAACTGGTGCTGTATTTTCGTCGTTGCATTTCCATATGATTACCTATAACTTAGCGACTACTCGTATTTTATCAAACAATGTCTTGATGTACCGGCCTGTCTGGCCGTCCGCAGAATGTCCTCTTATATCAGAAGATGTGATAAGGAAGCTCGGATAAAACAACGGCTAACTAAACCAAGGAGCCTCAAAGCCTTGCGGTATTTATCTAGTGAAGCGATGTGGCTGTGATAACACTCTCCAATGCTAAATAAATGATCCCCTGAGCGTACACCCGGCCGATCCACAAGATGTTGACCTTGCAAATGGAAATGAGTGTGGCGAAAATGTAGGCAAGAAAAAGGCCAGTAAGGGGGAAGGTATTCAAAGTAATGATCTGAGCCGCCTCAAGCGATTCTCGCAGGGGAGGAAGCTCCGGTGCTTTTGAACGTAAAGAAGTCATTCTCATGAGAGCTTCTTCTGTGATTAATATGGGCGGAACCAATTGTTGCACCCTAATGCCCCTCCCCCTGTAGAAGAGCGCCGCGGTAAGTACTATGGGAACACTCGTATGAGCACTCCTCCTGCCCATGTGACTAGTGAATTATCGATAAGAGTTTTTCATTCTCAGAACGATCTCTCAGTTAACTTACAATAAAGCCCAACCAACCTGCATATCTCGTGATGCAGTTACGAAGTGCTGCGAATCCTCGAACCAGCAACAGGACCATATAATCCTTGAGTGCTCCTTACTGGAAGACCACAATTTCTCGTAGCAAAACCCGTTAACTGAAAGGTCTCATCACGTTTTGGCAGAAGAAGTTTGAAATGAAAACGGCCTTGATTTGGCATGCCGATATAACGAGCAAGTCCGCTTACAATCTCCATTTTGTTCACGGTAAAGAATGGCTTTACGGTCTCTGCTAACACTCAGCAAGCGCGTACCAGCTGGACACCACTCGAGTTGGGTAACCGTCAATTGGTGCCCTGCTTATAGAATCGTCTACATATTCATACAACAGATTGAATTGAACATTCAGAAAAGCCGACAAATCACCCACCATGCACTTCCGACTTCTTGCTCCAGTCCAATGTGTCCCACAATGCAATCACCGGCATCGTCGGCTTGACTAGCCTTAATATACAAGAGCCGAATGAGAGGCATTATGCACATTGTGACCACTACTGTACAGAATTCTTCTTAGCCAAGAGCGAATGAGGAAGGGAAAAGCAGATGAGGGTAAGGGCGAAAAGATTATAGTGAACCAAGGAGAACTGCTCACATGACCAGCAGGATATAGCAGTGCACATTGTACACGACGATTCACACCAGAGCCTTACAAAGTAGTGACATTTGACTCCATCTCATTACCTGCGACCTAACTGCTCAACTGGATCCTTCCAAGCGAAAAATGAGACGTCCCAAACGCGAAACGGCCTAGAACTCGAGAAATGGGACCCTTTTCGCCCGTTGATTCTGGCGGTAGGTGTGTTCATCGGTGTTAACCTTATCGACACAACGTACTCTCTGCTAGAGCGGCTAGTGTGAAATGGCGAAGGGAGGGTAGGCGGGCAGTGGCGAAGGCGTCGCGGCTGCCCAGCCCTTCCCCCTCGCCAGCGGCCAAATGGCCATTTCTATATATACAGGGGGGGGGGGCAAAAGAAGAGTCACTTCCCTCCATAATCCATTCCCATGGTATGGATACCAGCAAGAGTAGACCGGGCCTACGACGTCAATCTTGAGCCAGACCACATGAGCTTAATCTTTAACGTCTGAGCCTGGTGAATTCATGCGGCGAAGTCGAATTGCTGTGCTGCAAGAGCTTGTGGAGAGCTCTACCTTTCTCGGACTAAGCTCCGCTCCACCGACCCAATAGTGGAGTGTGCCTCTAATAACCAACTCATGTACATAGTAGATGTACATGTTTTAGTAAATGCGCGAGTCAAATCAGTAATTAGAGCCCGCGGTCTCTGTATCATTTTATGTCCGTTTTGCTACCTGTATGTATGAAATAATGGTAACTTTCAGTCTGCCTGATCAGCATTTCCGATCTAGATGTTCTGTTCGGATACACAACTGAGCTGACTATATGAAAAATTGTTGGACTGAACATCCAAAGAGACCAAACAGCAAATGCGATAGCTCTAACATTTCGTTTTTCTGTCACTACCACACATGATCAAGCCGTCTACAGTCGACAACGATCATACTAAGCGAATAATTGACGCCCTCTTCCGATCTTACCTTGCAAGATGTGGCGAGTACAGTGCCAGCGGGGTTGACTGCAATTGCGTACACTTCGTAGCCATGACCATATAATTTTTGAATTTCTGGCCACAGTGTGTTCTGCTGCAAGCAGTCCTCTGTGGGAGGGGCTGAAAATGGACTCAAAATACCGTGGGTCAGCATGAAATACCATGTTTCCGCTCTGATCTCTTCGGTAGTTTAATGAGGTCCACTTACAGTTGAGTTCAACAGGCGCCGCCTGGAAAGCCGCCTCTTCCCAATGAGCATCACCATCGCCCTCAAACTGAGATATTTCGAAATCTTCAATTGCTTTGTTAGATAGACCCAAAGCAGGGACTCTTGCACCATAAGATGGAAAAGTGCAGTCGCCAAAAATCTAAAAGGTCAACCGTAAAATAGGCAGAAAACATGAACACATGCAAATAATGATAGAATATCAAACGTCTACAGTACGCCTGAACGCTTCATTCAAAGAACTTTAGCAAATTTAGACTTGCCCAAGTACACGTACCTCTGTTATTTCAGAACCAGTAATGTTATATACACTTTTCGCAAAAGCTTTCGAAGCTTGAAAGGCACGGAATATCTTCTCCTCCGCGCCAGTCACAATGACGGAACTGTAATGAGAAATTCAGATCTTTCCGGACCTGACCTCCTCTTATTACAATGTTTGTTCATAGTTACCAGTCACTTTAGTTTCTCAGAGCTGCGCTATGTTGATTTAAAGAGGAAGATACCTGGAAACAACTGCAATGCACTGCATACTGTGACCGTGAACTTGAGGTCGAGCCACTTCTATGAAGCCTTTCTGTTCCTGCAAAATGCCAGTCTCATTGATGACAACGATGGCTGTGTAGAGATTACCTTCTGTGGGATATAAACCCTAGTAGTCTTATCTTCACCAACGGAAATAAACATTTTCCCAGAAGGATGCCATGCAACGTCACGCACTGCACCGACATGGCCACTGCACACTGCAGCTGCGTCCCAGACGTCAGCTTCCTACATGGAACATTTCAATCACGAAAACTGATTTGAATAGAGCAAAAGCCTAGAACACCTCATTTGCAACCCATGCGTAAAGTCCTCCAAAGTACGAGGAGGCCACAATTTGACGAGCATCAGGAGAAAACGCAGCGCCAAAGAAACCAGCAGCTTGTCCTCCTACGATTCCCAGTCGCACCTGAAACTGATAATAGTGCCCTAAACCTATGGATACAAAGGGTGAGAAGCACCGCATCGCTCCAAAGCTTTCCATCAGAAGTCTCCCTCCAAATAATAATAGTCTTATCACTAGAGGAAGTGAGTAGAAGTTGTCCAGCACTATCCCATGACGTCGAATGGACCCAATCATCGTGCCCAGCCAGAACAGCTTCACTGCTTATTGATAGCGAGAGTTCTAAATAACAAGGTTTTTCAGTTTCCAGAAATGATGCTTACGGTCTTCGCAACCAATAAAATTGCATATCTCACCGCCATCGGCACCAGCAATTTTGAAGCTGTTTTTAGTTACATTCAATTCATCAACGTCCGTTTTCTCAGTTTCATTTTCAATACGCCACAACTTTACGTAAGAGTCCTGACCCGCTGTGGCCAGTAGGACTGGATAAGACTCTGAAAAAAAAATGAGTTCATCAAAAAGCAGGGCGATCACAATACTCGAAAAGGATGAGATTACACGCAACGATTGAAAGCAATGGAGTGCACCCAGTCCTCATGTGCAGTGATAGAAAGAGCCCGTTTCACCGCCTAAACCAGTTACCTCAAAGAATAGAACGGGAAACGTACAAGAAGCTGTAGAACTAACCTTAGAGCATGCAGTCTCACAATAAAGATCAATGGATCTTTTTGTAGTGCCCACAGCAAGAAGAACCATTCCTAAGAAATACTTATTATTCTACGACCACTGATAAGATTAAAGTGAGGGATTACGATAAAATCTCCGTGCAGCATGGAAGAACATACACCAATTCAGCAATAGTCAGAGGCCAAAGAAATCACGATGTGGCCTTTTCGTGGCTAAGGGTGCGCTCGTTGCGGCGCATTGGGATTGCCAATTCCCAACTTAGGGATGGGGACCCATCCCCTCACCCAACT